CAGCAGGAGGCCCCCTCATCGAATCAACTTGTCCTGATCTTTTATCTTCTCTGGCATTTAACACTTAAAGAGCTTTTCCCTCTTTTAGCAGCATTTTGTCACTGTTGGGCAGAAACCTCGTGCTGTATTTTGTCATTTTTCTTTTTTTTTGTTTTCTTAAATCAGTGCTGTTGATGATCCTTTACATCTGTCTGTGGGTTTTACAAACATTTAACCACTGAAAGCATTAAGAAGGCCTTGTGATCCATTGGATCCTGACACTGTTGGCCAGACCTCATATGAGCTTGATTTAGATAAAATATTAATAATATAATGACACACGCGGGTAAGTGACCATATATAAAGACACCAACGGTGACAACATGATGTTGAATTATTTTAGACACACAAGGTTTTTTTAATTGAATGGTTTTGGAGATACGAGGTTTACGCCTGACAGTGACTATTTAATCAGTACAAAGCAGTACAAAGGTTTAAATACTGACTGAAAACCTGTCCTGTTTTTGTCTTAGGTTCAGCCTTGAGCCCGGATCTATGGTCTGTGATATATTGAAGGTTTGGAGACCACATTCACTTTCTAGCTTCTCACCATCATGACAGACTGTTACTCTGATTGATATAAAACTGTAACCAGTGAGAATGGCACAGCAGCAGTGGAAATCGGAGTCATTCTTTCTGAATCATTCGTTGCTCTTGTTGCTAAAGAAGGAGCGCCCAGTCAGCAGCTGAGGCATCTCAGTTTCTTTGCTTTTTGTGAGGTCGAGCTTCTTGTGAAGAACCTGGTCTGAAGTTCTTTTCTGGTTGTTACATGCTGTAAACAATGCAGGTAGAAGTTACTGTAGAAAATAATATTTTAAGCTTTTATTTAGTGGGTGTATTTGGACGCATTCAGATTGGTTTGAAACTGAACTGTTGGTTTACTTAATGTTGATGCTCAGAATATGCCGGGTTTTTTTATGTTTACGATGGACCTGAACTTATGAAACTCTACTTCTATTCTTCATTTGTTCTACTGAAGAAGGCACTTTGGTTCAGGCAAATTTGAAGGTATCTCACATCATCTTATCCTGTCATATTTATGCATATATGCCAATGCCATACAGTATTGATTGACATTTTACTTTAAGGGGTATGACAGATCCTGAAATAGTTTTGAAAAGCTGAATGGTGTTATTGCTTTTTCATGAGGTAATTCTCTCATACGAGCAGCTTATTAGAGAATCAATGAAATGTTAATATTCCATATATTCCTTTGTGAAATGAGATATTGAACTAAACTTGAAAACACCTGGTCCAGCGAATTATAAAATGAATATTAGACAGCGCAGAATAACACATAAGCACAATGAAATTCTCACTTGAGAGCTGGTTCAGGTTGATACCAGCCACATTTCCCTTTAATAGCTCTTTAAATCTCCAAATTAGACATATGCCCAAATCATAGCGGGTGATGCCTACTGTATAGCCAGTGCTGTAGACCAAATACTGTATTTTATAATTTACATCAGTGAAAAGAAATTTGAAATATGGCTCATATTTCCAGTTTTTGAGAAATTATCATGATTCCTATGTGCTTATAAATTCTCTACTATCCCGTTTCCAGTCTGTACAGCATTCTGTGTTTATGTAGTGAATGTGCTGAAGGTTTTAATTCCACATATGAAGGTACTGAAAACAAATGATTTCAGACAGAGATGGACCATCTCATAAATGGTCTGGTTTTCTGTGAACAGTAACACTGTAAAGTGCTCATATGTGATGTAAATAAATGTTGCAAAATATGAACCTGTCAGGTGGTTAGATGGCATGTTTTTATTCAGAAGCAAGAGTGCTTATGCGTCTAGTTCACTGTAGCTAATGTTAAATAGCCTGGGATTTTAAAGCTGAAGTTAACTTAGTCATTTAGCATGTTTGTCCTCAAACTTTAGAGAAGCAATTTATTTTATGAGTTTGTAATTTCATAATTTTCTAATTAGAAAGAACAGTCATTTAGCACCAATTAGTGGCAGTTGTTGGTTTCCAGGGAAATGTCCCATTTAAACTGAAGGAAATATTAATTTTTCACTTCTTATTGCTAGGTTGCTATGCGTTCCTGTAGACAAATATTCAATTTTTGCATCATATACTGCAAGATCCCAAAGCTATACTAACAATTTATTGCAGTTAACTAACTCGAAGTATCTAGTGAATGTCTCCATTTTCCCTATACACTAATTAGTACCAAATTAGGTTCTATCAATTTACAGTTACATAACAAGAAATTACAGAGAACTGTGGGACCAGTAAAGTCTACAAACTAGTTCCAACAACAAGGCTTCCCTGATGGTTGAATAGTTCTATGTTGACCCATTTTCATTCATAATAAAACCAGGGAAAAGGCAGATCTCCATCGGGTGCATTTACATAATTTGACTTGGTGTTATGAAGAACTTGCATTTTCATCGCAACAACATCCATGTGCAGCCTTCCCAGCACAAGTCCTCAGCTTGAATGCATAGACTTTTGACAGGTTTGGAATGAGGTGTTTGATTCTCTGACAAATGCTGTATCCATGTTTTTAGCTTTCACAGAGTCTTATTGAATTTTATCTGTACTTGAGTACACTACCATGTCAGTATTACTCATCCTTTGACTATTTTGCGCCTTGGGCCTCCTCTGTCGTTTGCAAATGAATATTTACCATACAATTTTACAGTGTTTTTTCAGACTTTAGCTTTCGTGTGCTATGATTTATGCATTATTGAGTAAAATCATTTAGTAGTACATTCAACATTTCTCACTGTGTACGTTGTGTGCGTTTTTAGTGATTATAGTACGGTCAGCACCAGCCTGCACTTAACCTGACAAATTTATAAGGAACAAAAATGTGAAGTTTTCTTAGAATGAGCAGAGAATGCAGATTAGTCTTAATCCACTCTGTATACAACCACTTTAAAATGGCTGTATTTGTCCTGTGGCAACAACACCTGATTCCAGTAATAACCTATCAGGTAATTCAGCAAAGCAAAATGAGGAAAGTGTAGAGGCCCCAACCATGTATTGTGATAGTGAACTGTTTAAACTTCCCATAGACAGCACACAAAGTACTCAGTCAGCACTTTATACAGTACTGCATCTGCGCTAATTTCTAACCATTTGAAAGAGTAGTACAGACTTTGACAGTCCATTTGTGGCTATAGTAAGTTTCACAAGCAGCTGATTGTAAGTACTATCGTTGTGTTTCCAAGTCACCATTTTCAATTATGTGCCCCACAATGCAGCAGTGCCTTGTTAGACACACAATAGAACAGCTCCTACTGGAAGAATCTAGCAGTCCACTGTGATATTTACTGATTTAAAAAAGGCAGACAAATTATATCAGATTTAGTGTTGGGAAATAATGTTAAGAGGAATTAAATCTTGGTACTGTAGCTTAGCTTAAACTTTAGGTCCATTAGCAGCCAATGCATATATGAGGGTGCGCCTGTGTGACAGAGCATCATTAAGCCTGAACACAGAGGACGAGTGGAGGAGGTGGTAGAAGGAGTCAGGACTGACGATCACAGAAGGGAAGTGCCGACTGCAGATCTCCCGGGGTTAAGAAGCAGCAAAAACAGGAGATTATTAAAAATAATAAGACCCACCTCTGCCTTGCTCTAATGAGGTGTGCGCAAACACTCATATTAGGGCTCTGGGAGTGGAAGGACTTCAGTTGATAAGGGACCTCAACTCATCTACTTTGTTTACTGTGTAGGCTAAATGTATGGGAAATGAGAGGGGAATTATCTGTTCTGTGTGGGCAGGGATTGTTTCACATGAACAGCTAGATCAAAAAGCTCCAGAGAGTCAGTTACCCTCAGTCCAGCTGTAGACTCTAAATTCTCTGTACAATGTATATACTTAGAATGAATTAACTTAAATGCATGTAGGTTAATCTTGTTTATTTCCATTAGTTATTAGTCCTAAATCCAATGCATTGACTCTACCATTAAAAGGCCTCATTTTGTTATTGATTAAATGGCTAAATTAAAATGAAATTCTCTTAAATTACACATTCCATTACACATATTACACCTCGAAATGAATACCCCTGAAAAAAGCATGTATCACCTCAGCACTTATCCTGACGTAGCAGTCAATCTCATGCAATCTACTTCACCAGAATTTATTTTTACTCCAGTCCACTTCAGTGCACTAACAAATTTTCATTCTGGTAAGCAAGGCCAGTAAAGGAAAATAAACACAATTCAAAACCCCAGAGGTTATAGTGGTGCAAGGGGGAAAATGAATGTGCAGCCATAGGAAAGAGAACAAGAACCAAACTAGGTTTAAATATGTCACATTTCTGCAAATACTTGCAAAATAAAAACAATCTAACTTGAAGCATGGCTATAAATGTTGCTTGTTATGCTGATTATTCCTTTCCAGGTATAATGTGGTGGATGGGTCAAAAAGCATTAGCCAGTGGAGTTGGAGTTGTGCTGCTGGAAATACATTTTTTTATTAGTACAGTAATTGAACTACTGGCTTATGATGGTTGGTAACGATCAGCAGTGTTCTTTCTTAAAAATGAGAGCACTGGTGCCCTCTAGTATTCAAACCAGTGATATACAGGAATGTGAAGCACTTCCAGGAGATGGCAGATGATCATATAAGAACAAAGAAAAAGACAGGGAAGGTGTTCATGTAAGATTAAAATACAGAGCCTGACCTTGTTTTTAATAGAGATGCATACCGAAATACCACTGTCTTGCTACGTTTGTCTCAGTGATGTAAAAGCAAAGTCCTTCTGTGAAAGTGGGCTACTGGCAAATCTTTGCTCCAGCACAATGTTGAAGTCTTTCACCTAAAGTTCTTTTAGATTAGAGTTTCCATCAAGTGGCCTGTTTCCACAGCAAGCAGGTGAGGACAGTTCAGGAACCAGGGGATATTCTAGGAGACTCTAGTGTGAGTGATATGTTTGCTTGAGGACAAAGGGCCAGTGTTTTCAGGCCCTGGAGTTGACTCTAATGCTGTAAAGTGTCCTGGACCAGAATCAAGCCCAGAAAATCCTTCCTCCTGCTCATATATTGTCTTTATCAGTGAGCCTCCATATAGTGGTGGAGGGTGAGGACCATCTTGTCTGACTTCTGATGGCACTTAAATCACTGATATCACCTGGTGTAGTTAACAAAATGAAATGAGGTTAGTCAGTTTTTGTCCAATTGAAAACCACTTTTAAAAGATGAAAAATAAAATTACAGACATGCTCACAATTTTATTTTTGACACTTGAACTTAATACGTATTGTATATTTTGCCTTACATTTTTGCTATTTACATCTTTATATATTGAAAACTTGTGCAGTCCGCCACCTACGCTCAGAGTATGGTATATGCGTATAATATGTATTTTGGCATATTAAGAAATGTATTGCATACATTTATCATTTTCATCCGCTTTTTAAACTCATTTTTATATTACTTTTTCTAGTTACTGTTTTCGCTTATATTCGCTCGTATGCAGCCTCTGTCCATCTGGGGGCGGTATTGCTCCTTTGGAGCTGCTGACTTTGCACTAGAAGGAATTTCATCAAACCCGGAAGCGTTCCCAACTCGGCCGTGGTTGTTGGTCATTCAGGCTGCTGTGGTTTAGATCACTTGCTGTTAAGGTATCCGTTTACATCGGGCGTCGGACATATTCACTTGTAGGTGTATTCAAGGAAAGCAAGAATGGCTGGTCGGCTACCGGCTTGTGTCGTTGACTGTGGAACAGGGTGAGTAAGCAAAAATAAGATGTTAGTAAGCGTTAGCCTGGATTTCATTGACCACATAAGCGGCTGTCAAACTTCCAGCTAACGCCCTGCTCTCTAGCTGTTTGTCCTGAAAGGTGCTAGTGCTATTTAGCTGCATCAGTTTACTATCGATTCTTAACTTGTGTGTAAAGCCCGGGATAATGCTATAAGATAGCATGCCAGTGTGCCCAACAAGTTTATTCTGTAATGCCTTCATCCTAAATACTGGTTTATCATTGCAGTTAGCTGCTACAAGCTACTGAAGCTAATATTACTTCCTGGACAGTCCGCACAGCAGAAAGCATTTTATCCAGATAATTTTAGCAGTTTAATTGGCTCTTATTTCCAACAAACACTTTAGCTATAAGGAATTAATAACTATATGTAAATCCGTATTTGCATTTTCTTCCTGTTTTAGGTACACAAAACTTGGTTATGCAGGAAACACAGAACCACAGTTCATCATGCCTTCATGTAAGTCAATTAAAAATGCCAAAACTAATTCAGTGATGGTTATTTTAACAGGAATATGTTTTATCAAGTTGAGTAAAGTATTAGTATATGCAATGCAAATATTTATGCTCTTAAGCACTAAAATAATTTCAAGAGGTTAACTGTTAAAATTATGGTGTTTTTATTTTGAAATTTACACATCAAAGTAGAGCTACAGGGATGAGTTGATTAATGAATCAGTAAACTGACTGATTAGTCATTTGAGTTGTTTGGTTTATTGTTTTTGTCATTTGTTAAACAGTAATGTTACCAATTTACTAAGCTTTAAAAAAATGAACCCATACATTTGTGACCAGAGTAGAAATCAGACAAAAAGCATAATTGGCCTTCTTAGACAACTTGATATGTAGTATGATGGTAAATGGGTAGGGAAGTCACAAAGTGGTGAGATATGAACAAAAAGCATAATTGGCCTTCTTAGTCAACTTGATATGTAGTATGATGGTAAATGGTCTTATACTTGTATTGTGCTATTCTATACAATGAAGCACACTCAATGTGTGTTTACACGTGCACAAACATTCACACACACACACACACAGCCACCAGGAGTAACTTGGGGTTCAGTGTCTTACCCAAGGTCACTTTGACATGTGAACTGGAGAAGCTGGGATTCAAACCACCAACCCTTCGATTAGGAGATGACCTAGTCTACTTCCTGAGCCACAGCTGCCGCGAGGAGTGGGAGATCATCTTGTTGAGATTTCATCTAGTGAGTCAGTGTTTGTACTTCACATGTTTGACCATCTTTTAGGTATTGCAATCAAAGAATCAGCCAAGGTCGGAGACCAGGCCCAGCGTAGGATGATGAAGGGCGTTGATGACCTGGACTTCTTCATTGGCGATGAAGCCATCGACAAACCATCATATGCAACAAAGGTACACAGACAGAGTTGGCCTGTGTCAGATGGGACTTGGGCTTCAAGAACAGATTGACATTTGATCTGATTCTTTCTTCCTTTCCAGTGGCCCATCCGTCATGGGATAGTGGAGGACTGGGACCTGATGGAGAGATTTATGGAGCAGATCATCTTCAAGTATCTGCGGGCAGAACCTGAAGATCATTATTTCCTTTTGGTAAGACCAGAACTACAAATGTTATTAAAAGTTACAAGTTTCATCTGTCACTCAAGTTTGTTAACCTCTTTTAATGTGCAAAATGTTGGATTATAGTGATGGTGTACTCACATCGATTTTGTGTGCTTCTCTCAAATCCAGACAGAGCCTCCCCTCAACACACCAGAAAACAGAGAGTACACAGCAGAGATTATGTTTGAGTCCTTCAATGTCCCAGGTCTCTACATTGCTGTTCAGGTAAGTTACCAAAACTTTACAGTACTAGAATTGAACACTAGAAGGATGTCAAAGTGTCCAGAAGCAAGCCAGTATTCATTTTCTTTCATGTCTGTCAGCTTCAAACAACAATTCCACAGCTCTCACAACTAGTCGAAACCAATCTGACACCAGGCATGTGGGCTGTACACAGAAATAGATTTTGTTCTCTTCTTCACAATGGAATGTGAGTCAGAAGATTTTTAATGGGGGAAAGTCGGTTTTCACTTCTGCTTCAGTGTTCACATGGTGTTTGATTGTCTGCACAATGTTGTCCTTGAGTTTTTCCAAACTCTCAACTCTGAATACTGTGTAATTGCTTCAATAGCAAGACAACATTATCTTGTCTTGCTATTTAGGACATATTTATTAAATTAAAATGTGCGTTATGTGCATCAGGCTGTCCTGGCACTGGCTGCCTCCTGGACATCCAGACAGGTGGGAGAACGGACATTGACGGGCACCGTGATTGACAGTGGAGACGGAGTCACACACGTCATCCCAGTGGTAAGTGACACTTTTGTTTTAGTGCTACTTTTTAGCCTCGTCCTCATCCTCTACTGTAAACCCATGAATGTGTGTGTTCCAGGCTGAAGGTTACGTCATCGGGAGCTGCATTAAGCACATCCCCATCGCTGGTCGAGACATAACGTACTTCATCCAGCAGCTGCTGAGGGAGCGGGAGGTGGGGATACCTCCAGAGCAGTCTCTGGAGACGGCTAAAGCTGTCAAGGTCAGTATTGCTTTTTGCTTCTGACCCCTTCTGTCTTTGAAACATTTTTGAAACAATAAAAATGCTGTTTGATGTTTGAATCCAGCTAGTGTCGGATGCTTTCTAATGAAGTGACAAGACAGGACAAACATCTTAGTTCGATAAGTCTGGCTCACTGTTTGTTTTCAGCTCATAAAACTGCGATTTTAGGTGTAGAAAGCTGTGTAGTAGACAAGAACTTTATGATCAACATAAAACTTTAGCCCAGTGGAGCTTTATATGTAATACTCTTTGTAAAGCTGTCCACTGCAGCTGTGCTGTGGTCACTTTAAGGATGTTATGTTCTTTCATTCTGAGTCAGTTTCTGTTTCTGTACTGAAACCTGCCAGCAAAAGACTTCAGTAGAGGAAGTGATACCCTTACCAAATGTTATAGGTCACAGTACTGTTGTGCATTAATCAGTTTGGCCAGTAGAGGTCAGTGCAGCCATGGGAGCATAAAGCTGACTTTCTGGAAGTGAAATGAACAGAGGTCCACTTACTTTTGTTTTTTCCATTTAAAATGTTTGTTCTTTATAAACACAGCTGTCTTTTTCTACTTCCGCTCCTAATAATAATCTTAAATTATAATAAGAGTTGCACTGTATTCTTTTCTTAGGAGCGATTCAGCTACGTCTGCCCCGACCTTGTCAAGGAGTTTAACAAATACGACACAGACGGCTCCAAGTGGATCAAACAGTTCACAGGCGTCAATGCCATTACCAAGAAGGAGTTCACCATCGATGTTGGTTACGAGCGTTTCCTTGGCCCTGAGATCTTCTTCCATCCTGAGGTATAGTAGGTTGTTTTCGAGAGATATTGTGCAGCTGCTGCTGATAGATGGTGTTCCTGCTCTTGTGAAGGAGGAAGGATTGTGGCTGGTTAATATCATCATTATCAGATTCTCTGCCCTGACGATCTCAAATGACAACTGTGCAGGATAAACCTGCAGAAATGTTTTGTCGTCACATCGTGCTGTCAGTTTTGTAACAGTGGTATTTTCACTCTGCTGATGTAACAATCTGTCCTGCCTCAGATTTTTGATGGTATTTTCACTCTGTTGGTATAACAATCTGTCCTGCCTCAGATTTTTGAGACTGTTAAGTATGTTTGTTCACTATTTGGTCTTGCCCAGTTTGCGAACCCAGATTTTACCCAGCCGATCTCGGAGGTGGTGGATGAAGTCATCCAGAACTGCCCCATTGATGTCAGACGTCCACTGTATAAGGTATAGAAACCTCGGCACCTACTAATACTAATAGAACACACATAAGGATTCATCTTTGATCTGCTGCTGTTAATGTGTACCTGTTCATTGTCGTAGAACATCGTACTCTCCGGAGGCTCCACTATGTTCAGAGACTTTGGCAGGCGTCTGCAAAGGGACCTCAAGAGAACTGTGGATGCACGACTGAAAATGAGTGAAGAGCTGAGCGGTGGAAAGTTGAAGGTGAGGAAATAGGAAAGGGAAGAAGAAGATGAATCCACCATCCTACTTCTGAAGTCATGGAAAGATCTGAAAGTAGAAGTTTGAAAAGTTGGGGAAATGCACTAAAAGTATGTCTGTTCTATTTCCAGCCTTTTATACACAAGATTTTCTGTACTTGTAGGCTGTGATTTCAGTTATTGTAAGATTTTATTAAAGGTGTTTGTAAATGGAAAGTACAGGTCTTTTTAATCCTGTGCTTTGTACAGAAATGCATAAAAATGGCTCTTAAATGCTGTAAGAGGTTGTTTGTTTGTTTGTTTGTTTTTTTATAAGTTGACAGGGAATAGTTTTTTGCTTTTTTTTGTCTTTTATTCCAAATACTGAAAATGTCTTGTCTTGTCTTTGTCTGAAGCCCAAGCCCATTGATGTGCAAGTCATCACTCATCACATGCAGAGATACGCTGTCTGGTTCGGAGGATCAATGCTGGCGTCTACTGTGAGTATCAAAACAGTCTTTTCAGCAACTCGAACAACATATAATCATCCCTCCTGCAGCTTCTTCATATTTAGTTTGACATCAACAAATAATTGATGGAAAATTCGGATAAGTTCTTGATGAGAGTTTTCACTTGGCCAGATCTGACTGGAAATAAACAGCAGAATAAAAGTTTTTCCTTATGCCCCACACATTGGTACACTTTTGTCACTCTTTTGTTTGGCTAAGCAGAGCACACACTTGCATAGTGTTTTATATATGAAAGAGAAAGGAATTTAGGATCGGTTTTATTTTGGCAGCCTGAGTTTTACCAAGTGTGCCACACCAAGAAAGACTACGAGGAGATCGGGCCAAGCATCTGTCGCCACAACCCCGTATTTGGAGTCATGTCTTAGGCCTCAGAGGGAGCGCAGTCAGCGGAGGATGAGGAAAAACGGAGGAAGCGCTGCAAAACCTCACATGCTGTGGAAGTCCCATGAGCCTTTGCACGGATGCTCCGACAGACCTGTTCATTCGGATAGAGCGGCAGTGGACCAAACAAACTGCCAGAAGTGTGACATCGTCACAAATTAGAGGAAAGAACTGACTCAGCCCAAAGGATCCTTGAATTAATTGTTTACTACAAGTAGGTTAATAATAGGTGATTAATTTCTGCGTGCCTCATATGTACTTATTATATCCTCACAGGGTTGTAATATGTAATTAAGGAGTCCTGTATAAATGCACTTCTCTGTGTATATGGGTTGGGTTCAATATGTTAAATATTGTAAGTAAAAATGGAAACGTAGAGGTTGTTCCATGAAGCTGGGCATGCTTAGCTAGATCCACAAGCATTGAATAAATCATCTTTTTGATAACTGAGATATCAAATGGGTGCAAACGTACATTATTATAAAAAAAAAAAAAATTTCACCAGACATGCTGACTTTCCTCATTTATGTGTGTGTCTCTTCTTTATTTAAATGTCCCTCAGTACCTGGAAGAAATATTTATTTCAAATTAGATTTTTAAAAAATTCTCAAATATTCAAATATTCTCTTCAGATATTTTTTCCCAGGTTTCACTGAGCGCTGTTGTCTTTTCTCTCACAGCAATGCTTTCCTTTGACCTTTTCATTTGTAAATAAAAAAGGTTGTATTACTATATGAATGACTGTTGTTGGAGCATGGCTGTTGCCTGGATCTTGGTTCTGCTGGGTAGCCTTATACTGTACATAATCTGGGTTTCAATGCTGGCATTCAATAAATGCCAAGGAGATATTTCTACAGCTGTGTTTTCTGTCGTTCAAGTTGGATTTCCAAGAATTCTGATAGTTTGGGGAAATACCATAGATAATTGTGAATCTGTTCTTTACATAACACATCTATTTTTGTGAGTAAACCCTCCCTGTAACTTGATCCCTTCAAACTGGCCAACACATGCAAGGGTTTATTTTGGTTCAGCCACTTCATGCACCTCATTGGCCCGTTTGGCATGGGAGCTAGTGTCAGAGGCTTGTGCTTGTCATAACTTGAAACAGCAGAGTAATGGACACATGGATATGCAATTCAGAGTTAAGGTGCTGTTGAAAGACAGATGGTGAAAATCAATACAGAAAGAGGAAAACAGACTTTTTAATGCTAGAACAGAGAAGTCTGGATTGAGCGTCATGGCTCGTGCAGGGAGGCTGAGGGTGCTCCTCTTCTGTGCTTTGTTCTTTGGAGCAGTAGGTTTCTTGTTCACACTCCTCTCCTGTGGGACGGAGTACTGGCTGGGGGGGGGGGGGGGTCTCCTGCGGGCCGGAGTACTGGCGGCTGGCGGCCGAGTCCTGCAGCCGCCCAGAGGACAGAGATGGGGGACGTGGCCTGAGAGAATCGAAGAGCAATACTAAGGTATTACAACCGAGCATGCTGGGAAAAAAGTGCACAGCACCTAAAAAGTCATTGAAAGGCATGAGGACAGTTAAAACAGCAGGAAGCTGGTGGTAGCCTAAATTCAAGTAAAATAATATGACCACTGCAATTTTGAGGAATAAGTAATTCAATAAAAACTTGTACGATTTCATGAATTAAATTTACTACAGCACAAAATATTGAACATTACACCAAAAGGAGCAGCAGAGAAAATCTAAGGAAAAGTTTTCATAACTGGGTATTGTTTTTGTTGTTTGTCTTACAGTAACAAAAATTATGTGCAGCTCAGCAAATATACTGCAAACATTTATTAGAAACATTTCTTAGAACACCTTTCCCCTTCTCAAGACGTCTTCCTGCTTCCCCAGGCTGTGGATGACGTAAGGATTTTCCACGAGGGTCTGTTTTGGCGGTGCTCTTTCCAGGGGGTTTCTCATGAATACTCTATCTGGGACCTGTGGATCTGTAAGAACCTGCACTGTGTGGTTGTATGGCACAATTGTGCTTCCAGATTTGGCTATGACAGCAGATGCAACTTAAAGAGTTTTAAATATCATTTTTGCATTTTACCCCTCAGCAAAACAACCATCACTGAAGGTCTGCCAGGCTGCTTTCCTCTTCCCGTTTCCTCTGAATGAGCGGCTGCAACCACGAGTGGAGCCACACAGTTTACCCACCGAACCCTATGAACCCCACTCTGCTATTGGTTGGTATTCTTATGTTGTGTACACATATTGCTTTGTAAACATTACTGTACTGAAAGCATCCTTTTCCTGGTCTCAGTTTTTAGGACCTTCTGGAGCATCTTCCTTGTCACAGGTGCTGCAGCTATCGTCGTCGGTGGGTTTGTCATCATCTGTGCTGGCCCACTGACCAACCACAAACTCTATGAAATGGGTGGAGCCCTTCAGCTTTGTGGTGGTAATTCATAATCAGTATCTCAATAATCTCAATAAGTCCAGCTCAAGTTAGCTCAAGCGTGTCTTTTAAGGGCTGCCTGTGCACTAATGTAACAGTTATTGAGCATAAATGATGTGTTTATAAGCTTCCATTTACATATTCTATGAAATAATAGTTTTCATCCATGTCAATTAGCACCCAGCCAGTAAACACAAGTTGTGTGCTCTGGGAAGGTGATGTGTTGAGAACTAGAACCTCTGCAGACTAAAGTGAACCTTATTTTCCTCATTTAAAACAAAACAGCTTTGTGTGTTTCCAACAGCTTGAAGAGCATTTCAGATGTCATCCTGAGTCTATCATTTATACTAAAATTGGTACACGATCATTTCTTTTTTTCTTTGACAGTAAAAACAACAAAGCAAACATTTACTGCTGAGGAGTTAAAGGCTTGTTCCGCAGGTCTCCAGCTGTCCCACAGAGTGACGACAAAAGACTAATAAATGGCACAATGACAGAACAAGACACAAAACAATAAGCAATAAAAAGACTAAATACTAAAAGGTGGCAAGATAATGTGTTTCATGGGTTTTAAGGATTGAAGCAAAGATTATGGGTGTAACAAGGGATTCTGATGCTGATGTAGAAAGTAAAATGAATTGTGCATGTCGCTGGCTTGGACTAGCTCACAATGTTAAGGTCAAATAAGTGCAATATGTTTTGTAGGTGGCAAAACCTGGTTCCTTATAATTGTTGGTGTAAGTGGGTACAAAAACAAAAGGCATTATCTTTTATCTAACCTTTTTCAATATCCTTTTGAATGTTTCTATATTTTTACACTTAAACTAAGCGACACTTTGTACAATTGTGACAAAAACTCACTCTAGTTTTCCCTGTGCCTGTTAGGCCTGTGTCTGCTGGCAGTGGTGGTGATGTATCTGATGTGGGTCCATGTCCTGGACACTCTGGAGCAGTTTGCCCTCCATCAGACCACCTCCAGCTGCCCCTCCTACCACCTCAGCATCCAGCACGGCCCCTCATTCCTTCTGGCTCCAGTGGCTGTCTTCTTCTGCCTGCTGGCTGGCCAGCTTTCCATCCTGCTTGGCCGATGTATCCAGAGGACACAGCTGGATAAGAGAAACAAAACTCCTGAACTTTCAGCATCTGATGATTATGTGTAACTTGCCCTTTACTCAAGTTTACCACTCAATTAAGTATTGAAACTTGAAACTTGCTACTTGCTGAAGTAATAAGATGCTGCGCCAAAGTCAGCCTGTAACCAGTTTAAGGAAGCTTTTACATTGGCTGCTCTGGAAAAATTCACTGGGAACAAGTTGTTTTTTGTTTGTTTGTTTTTTCTGAAAAATCAGACACAACAGCTACAGAGCATGGCTGGCACGTGATCACTCAGACATAACCAAAGATGAAGAGCGAAATCACAAATGTGGATCCTTCCGATTGCTTCCATCAGTGAGGATAATTAGAATCCTTAATTTTGAAGCTGGTCATTTATAAAGGATTTTTCTAACCCATTTAACAGACCTCATTGTGATTAATGCTTCAGTACTCCCACTCTGCATGTATTATAACTGATAAATGAATTTTGACAAAAATGGAGAGAAAACACGTGCCCGTCTGCTGATGTGAATGTTGAAGGGTTGAGTAGACTGAGTGTGACCAAGCCTGCCTGTCATGAGGACATCCGGGTGAAGCTCTGGAATACTGGGTCAGAAGGATAGAGATAATAATAAATTAGATTGTCATAATCCATTTTCTGACACGAGGGCCACTTCAGGGTCCTCGTGGAGTGTGTGTAAAACAAAGCACAGCCACTAGAGGACAGTGTTGCCTTAGGATAGTGCTTTGCAGTGTTCGTTGTCTCCCCATTAAGACACTTCATCCCAAGTCCTTGCAGTAATGTCCAACAACATTACAGCGAAATGCAAAGTTGCAGTGTTTGCATGAGATTAGGCCTGCAGAGGATGGAACCAGGAGGGAAATTTGTAAGTGATAATTAATACACTTTTCCTGATAAACAAAAGAAAATGGTTTTTTGTTCAAGTTCAGTATAGTTAACATTATATTTGAAGGAAGGGGAGGGGTTGTGGAAGCTCAGAGTCACACCTTGATAATTGGAAAAGGCAAACAAAGTGAGACCTTGAGATGATACAGTGACAAAAGCGAGAAAAAGCGAAGGAAAGGGGCGGGAGGACAGGGAGAAAGAACGAGTTGACACTGCTCATCAGCGAGTTTTCAATATTAGTTCATGTCTGACGCTCTGTGCTTTTCCATCCCTTCTCCTCCTAATCACTGCTGTGAACTAGGTGAGTATAATTACACCTAAGCATGTCACATTCACTTCCCCAGCCCTCACTGTGTTTGAACATCACTGTCACCTCCTCTCCCATGTCACACCACTGCCAACAGCCAGCACAGCCATGGGTTTAAAGGGTGGTCTTTATTTCATTATAAATATGAGGAGATCCAGTCACTTCACTTGGTTTCAATCTTTGAGATCAGAATCGTGGCAGATTCATTACTTGCGTGCAAGAGTGGATGTGGTGCTGTTGTAGCTGTGAGCCTTGGAAGCACAAACATACATTTATATATAGCCCACACACACTCCGCCACCAGCAGCAGCAGCCGCAGTCCTTTACACCACATCATCACACTGGGCCTTTGTCCTGTAGATAGATCTGTCCACTGCTATTAGTTCAGGGGTATCTGAGACATTGAAGAAGCAGTTTAAAACAATTCCAATCCTTTTAAGCTGTAAATGACATTTTACTATAAAATCTACAAAAGATTTGCATTCAGTCTTATTAAGGTTTGGATTTCATTCTGATGTTATGTACTTGGGTTTAGTTAGAACAAGGGAGGCACAGTGGGTAGAGCAGTCGTCTCCCAACCAGAAGGTTGAAGGTTCTGTATCTCGGTGCCTGTAGTTCACATGTTGAAGTGTCTTTGGGCAAGACACTGAACCCCCCCGTTGTCCCCGATGGTTAGAGCCATCGGCTGAGGAGGCGCCACAGATGGCTGCCATCGGTTCTGTACCGGAAACAAATTTCATGTGTGTAACCTACTTGGCCAATAAAAGTGATTATCCTTAACAACACTGGCCCTTTAAAACTGTGTAGATGGTTTCCCAATATGTTTATGGACTCTACACTGCAGTTAGAATGTCCAGCTAACTTGCTGTAGCTCCACCATATTTGTAAGTATTTAAGCCGCGAGTTAGCATATGAGTAAAGAACCACATTAGTTTGTAGCACTAGTGGAGGATCAGAGGGTGTGCAGCAACATCCAAGCAGCCTTGTAGGCAGAGCCGTTTCTGAACATCTTGGGACTCTAAGCAGATCTTAATGCCCTGTTTGAATTAGTGCTGCTAGTCATTATGATGCTGTTTCCTAAACATTTTATTGAAAATAGTTATTTGTTATTGTCATGTTTTGTTTTATTAGCAAGTTAAAGTCTTATTTGATAACTAAGTAGCCTTTGCTAGTCATGGTCCCTGGGGCTTGAGGAGCCTATACCATTATAGTTATATGTACAATATTTAAACAGCAGCAGCAGGTGGTTGTACCTACGTGTGGGTTATCCTTGGTCAGGTGTCTCAACTTGGACCTGTCCCTGTGCAGCTGCCCTGTAATACTTCTCAATAGCACCTAAAACACATAAAGCCAAACTGATGAGGATAAGAGCCATGTCAGGGCCACAGGCAGGTGGCCTGCATTATGTGACTATGTTAGAGTAGCTATCATGATTTTACCTCTGCATAGGTAATTGCTGCATTTTTGCCACCCGCAGAGCATCGTATAATGACCTACAGTAAATAAAACACACCCACCAACCAGCGTTTGTTAATGTAGAGCTACTATGTGTTCATCCAAAATGCCACAGTCACACAAACTCAGTGGTGTGCAAAGAGAAATTTGGAGTACTAAGTTTCAGAAATTGATAATTTGTTGTTGTTTTTTTATCCTTCTCTGTAGTTTAGTCAGCACATGTGGACTAAGATGAGCTAAGGTTAGTTCATAAGGAGGACACCCCAGTTAGCAAGTTACCATTTATCCCTACACTGAAACTGGACTCACAGCAGGACACAGTGCTGAGAACTTTGCACAGAGCAAGACTCGCAGACTACCATTCAGATGGGTGATAGAGTCATTATTTCCTAGTCACTGATGAGTTGCAAGTTACAATATAGCAACACAGTTTTGTGTGTTTCCATCAAGGCATGTGCAAAACATGCTCACTGGCTGCCTTGAGGTGTAATTTGTTTATGGTTTGTGCTCATGATTGTGTTTATTTTGCTCATACAGATACATGTCTGCTCTGTGCTCTAGCTTGCTGCTGACTGCTAAATTGTCAAAACCAGTTCTTGTGTGTTCATATTGCATCTTCTGTGGTGTCCATAGCCTCTCCCTTTACTGTTAGTTATTTTTGATTGTACAAGTTCTGTGTTATTATCTCATTGATTCCAGTGAGGTTACATCGAGGAAGTTGTAGTATATTGTTGTGCAGCTGATACTGTAAGTGCCCCTTTTTAAAAACTGAGTTATGGTAGTGGTACAATCTGCACTCGGGCCCAGTATATTGTTCTGCTACTTTTATGGGGTTAGAAAATAGTAATATATCATGTATGGAGCCATCAGGTACACGTTTAAGGCCAGCCTCCACAGTCAGAAAGTAAACATGTCTGTGTGCAGCTAAGGCATCTGATAAGCCTGATGTGAACATGTCTAGGTTGCATCTCCTGCCCTCTAAGTGATACAACTTGCTACAGTATGTAATGCATTTGGTGTTGTTATTATGAGCCTATTGGCAGACGGTGTCACAGAATAAAGTGTACTACACAGTGAAAAGGAGTTTTCTACTTCTCTAACATAGAAACAAACACAATGAGCACCCATTAAAATCTGAACACAAGCTTTTGTGATTCCACCGCCTTTGCTAAACCTCCCCCTGTTCTTTCTCCTCGCTTGTCTGCTCTACCTCCACATTACCCAGAGGCCAACCCACGGGGTGCAATTATTCAGGCCTTTGCTCAGCCAAGTAGTAGAAATTAGCCTCCTCTCCCAAACCAAGACCTTCTAACCTGTACCAGGACCTCAGGCTGCCTCTCTGACTAACCTGACCCCCTGTGACTTACCTCTTAGACCTTGTGTTTTCCATACATATGAGCCTGAGCTGGCCGGAGCCATGCTTGGCTGCCATATGGGCTCTCCTTGCCCTGGCTGGCAAAGTGGGGCCAGGGAGCTGCAGGCTATAAAAGCCAACACCCCCACACCTCCATACCACCGTGTGCTCCTCTGGGAGGATGCCGGTGTCTGCAGGCCAATGATGTGCTTTTACAACGATTTAACAAAAAGTCTAAGATGCTGAGCAAGTGGGCTGAGATGTGTCATTCTGTGTGGCAGCTGAGATTACCAGAGAAATATTGGCAATTTAATTTAGGAACAAGACTGGAGTATGCATTTCAATGTTTTCAAATAACTGCAGGTCAAATTCTAAACAAGCAATTATGGAAAAGAAAAAATGATATAATGAATTTTATTTGACAGTCTGTTCTCATGGTGTATGGGCAAGAAAATAAGCACTTCCTTTTGTTCTTCACTTGATCTTTTCTGTCATTTGCCCATTTCATTTTCTTCATTGAAATAACTTACAATCACAGGTGCACAGTGCTGCCAGATCCTCCTCTCCTACCTTTTCTTTCCACTCCCCCCCACCTGCCTTTGCCTTTTTCCACCTTCCATTTTATCTATTCAGGCGAGTCAGTGGTGGATAATGAGGCCTGAGGCCTGGCACTGTGCTCCTTGACCCTCAAGGCTTTGCAGTTGCAGCACAAAATCGTCTAGCAACCTTGGCTGCTGTTATAGGGGGTCCATTGGAGGAAAGACTGTGCCAGTAATGGAGAAACACACCACAACCAGGCTAGAAAAACTGTGAAGAATTTCTAAAATGTTGTCGCTGAACAAACTTGTCCAAAATCAACATGCTCCTGGGGATAGGCTTGTCTGTATGAATGCCTTTCAGTTTTGCTCACTTGCTAAGCAGCAGCCACAAACAGTGACAAGTTTCCATCCAAATGCAGTGCAACTTTTAAACACATTTCAAAAACTTTGCAGAACAAAATAATGAATGGAAAATAAGAAATATTAGATTTTTCCTTTGTGGTTTTAGAAGGAACTTTTTAATCTCATCTACTTTCATTTATAACACTGCTCTCTCCACCCATGGGCAATTTAAAATAATGGGCATGTCCCCTAGAATACTATTATTATTGTTATTATTAGCCTCTGAAATATTGCTAGGTGATATACTGAGCAGTAGCTCTGTTTCTCAGGACAATACATTCTGATAGATGTTTACTACCTATCAGAATGAGCTATACCCTACCAAATATTTTAGCTTCTCAGCTGTAGTTTATCATCTTATGGTTATCAGATCAAAACTGAGCTACCCAAGCTTCTTTACCGCAGCCCTAATTTTGAGTGGATGGGGCATTTTTACATTAAAACCTTGCCAATTCCAAATTTAATGTAGATGGAGTGTATGAAAA